TCTGAATACTTATGACCATGTGATATTTCAGTTTTTCTTTTTTAATAAATCTGCAAAAATGTCAAACATTCTGTGTTTTTCTGTCAATATGGGGTGCTGTGTGTACATTAATGAGGAAAAAATGAACTTAAATGATTTTAGCATATGGCTGCAATATAACAAAGAGTGAAAAAGTTAAGGGGGTCTGAATACTTTCTGTACCCACTGTATCAGACTCCAACTTCTCCACTATGGGCAAGACCAAAGAACTGTCTAAGGACACTAGGGACAAAATTGTAGACCTGCACAAGGCTAGGATGGACTAGAGAACAATAGGCAAACAGCTTGGTGAGAAGGCAACAACTGTTGGTGCAATTATTAGAAAATGGAAGAAATTCTAGATGACTGTCAATCTCCCTCGGACTGGGGCTTCATGCAAGATCTCGCCTCGTGGAGTATCAGTGATCCTGAGAAAGGTGAGGGATCAGCCTAGAACTATACGGGAGGACCTGGTCAATGACCTGAAGAGAGCTAGGACTGCAGTCTCAACGGTTACCATTAGTAACACACTACACCGTCATGGCTTAAAATCCTGCAGCACACACAAAGCCCCTCTGCTCAAGCCAGCACATGTCCAGGCCTATCTGAAGTTTGCCAAAGACCTTCTGGATAATCCAGAGGAGGCATGGGAGAAGGTCATGTAGTCAGATGAGACCAAAATAGAACTTTTTGATATAAACTCCACTCGCCGTGTTTGGAGGAAGAAGAAAGATGTGTACAATCCCAAGAGCACCATCCCAACCCTGAAGCATGGGGGTGGAAACATGCTTTGGGGGTGTTTTTCTGCAAAGGGGACAGGATGACTGCACCGTATTGAGGAGAGGATGGATGGGGCCATGTATCGCGAGATTTTGGGCAACAACCTCCTTCCCTCAGTAAGAGCATTGATGATGGGTCATGTAATTAACAAAATCTCCTTTAAATAATTAAACAAATGCTATTGCGGAAAAAACTTTTTATTTTTTATTCAGATCAACATGCAGGACAAGTGGGCAGGGCTTCTGGCACTATCCATCAGCTAACAGATGACATCACCAAGGGCACATCCTTTATACAGTCATCACAAAATGACTTTTTGGTTCATTTTTTAATCCCCATCTAAAAAGCTGGTCTTCTTGGCAGAATCCTGTATAAAATTATTTACTGAAAATATGCAGTGCTAGTATCTGACAAACAGTGGAAAATGAAGCTGTACCTGAGGAAGTGGTATGTGTACTACCATCAGAATTCCCCTCAAATCTATGGCACATTACAGTGTCTTTCAGCTCATTGTTTTGGCTTTACTGTCCACACCTTTACTGTTTTGGTTAAACCTCCACACTCTCATCAGCATTTCCAGCAGTTTTCAAAAAGGGTTTTTTAAATAAACCCACTTTACTTTACCTGCCCAATAGCATACACCACACACACAAAGAGTGCGACTAGCTAGTAAACAAACTAGGAACCATTTAGTGGCCAAAAGGCCACAGATTTCCCTCAGGAGTCGGTGAGATCAAAATGAAGAAACTCAAAGTGCTGAGAAAATTTTACAGCGTAACTCCATGAAAACTGGGAAAACTCCATTTACTGATGAGGATCATGTAATTTGATAGAAATCTCCAGAACAGCTCCTACTTTAAATGAACATTTGAACTATCAACTAATTTCAAAGATTTTCTAAAACCCAGATCATTTTTCTGGAATCTTGTGTATCAGCTCATTATTTTCTGTCTTCTGTAAATCTACCGACTCATTTCTAGAAAATATTCCAAACTTCATTTGTAATAGGAACCGGCTGAAATAGAAGTCAGTGGATGAAAATAGATGCTTTTGCAGCACATTTTCTTTTCTAGACTGGCTCCAGCCCCCGTGACCCTCTTCAGGATGAGCTGTATAGATAACGGATGGATGGATTTTCATTTCTGCTGGGACCCCTGTGACTGTCATTGTAACTCACCATCCACTGGTGCTCGTCTTCAGCTCTGGAGCCTGACATCCTTTTTGAGCCCTCTGAGGCCTCGTCAACTGAGCTCAGAGACAGGGAGGCTGGAGAGGGCGGTGCCCAGCCGTGTGCTGGGAAGGAGGCTGGGGTGGGGAAATGGATGAAAGGTGAGAGACAGGAAGGAAATACGTTTACCAGGGGAGCTAAACAGGACCAAAACTGATGGGGACTGCATCAGTGAGTGAATGAGCACAAGCCACAAGTCTCGGACTTGTCCATGAATTACACATTAGGCTCTTTCATTCAGCCCCATCTCAGATCTCAGCCGTTCACAGCACGTTTATCGACTCTTAACACTCATATATAATTAATGTGACTGCAGCGGAGAGATGCAGACGCTGCTCCATCTGTAACTTACAGCACGATGTCTGCTCGGTGGCTCAGAGGAAGCTCAGTTAACTGACAGTGGGAGGGAGTTAAAAATAGACCATACAACGGCCTCTTCAACCCTGCAAGTGGAAGGTATCAAATAGACTCTAATAGAAAGTAAACGGGCTGGAACAGGCCAGTAAATGCCATCAGTACATATGATTCTGATCACCTACCAATGACAGCCAAGCTTGCATCCTCACAGCTAAGGCTGGAGAGTCCCCTGTTGGCTGTTGTGTTGTATAATACAGCGCCATCCCACTATTGCTTGGCCTTGTGTAAGGCCTGTGGCATGCAGCGGTGTGGATTGGCTTGCAGCCATCCAGAGCTGCAGAATGGATTGAAGTCAGGTTCATTTTTCAAACATTTACCTCTGGGTATGGACAGCATGAATCACAGCCATTCAACAGATAACACCCTCCCCGTGGTTTACGCGCAGTGCACAGCTCTAACCCATTACCTTCTACCCTCCTCCTCTTACTTTGACATTATGAGCCCATCATTATATTTGATTACAATCCATCCCAACTCTCCCTGCAGCTTCATATCAGATGTAGTCCCTGTCAACCCTGTCAGCAAAAGCTGTAAGGCCTTTATCACAGAGGACCGACACATTATTCAGCTCCAATTTCAATGAGTTAACAGTAATTTAATGAGCTTGGTGCTGGAGGTAGACAGCGGCTTCAGAAATTATTCTGATCCCTTTACCTTTTGGACACTCTGTGTCAAAGACAACTGTAAGTGAATAAAACTGCCACTTCTGCTCATCCATCTGCACTCGATAACCCACAGTGACAATGTGAGAACATGATTTTTCTCAACTGTATTAAAAATCACAAACTTTCTTTTACAAAAGTATGTAAATGAACAGTTTGGAAGCAGTGGGGACATAAAGTACTTGTGTTAAATTTTTAGAAACAGAAGTAAGTAGTGGTTGGGTTCTGTCATGACTTTATAGCTACTACTTTGCTGCTTTCCTTGCAGCCACAAGGAGAGCTGGAAACTTTAAGATGATTAGACTGATACACATACACCAAGCTTAACTGTTTGTGGGGGCTTGGATTCAATGTCAAATAATGGCCAGATTGTATAAAATGATCAAAATATTGTTTATTCATCAATAAATAAGGATAAAAATAGAAACTAGAAACCACAGACGTATGGTAATATAACTGGCCAACTGACTCCCCCTGTGGGCAGAGAATTAAACCTGCAGCCAGGATGACTCATCGGCCATGCACGTTGTCATTACAACACTGCAGCAGCTGATGGCTGTAATGATCTTTTCTTTCGGGCCAAACAGGAGAAATGAGCTGGGATTTATTAGCTGCTGACTGCTGATGGTCAATGTGGCCTGGGCTGAGAAGTAAAGGCCTCTTGGCTAATCCTGGGGCAGCTGTATGGCCTGGATCTGTCTAAACAAAGTGAAACATGAAGACAAGCAGCCGTCCAGCATGCCAGCCTGCACAGAAAGACAAATGAGATTCCACTGACATTTAGTGAAACCTTAGGCCACGAGTCAGATGAAATCCTGATGTTTGTAGTGGCAACAGCGTCACCATGTGTTCACTTTAATCACACTTTCTGTTCGTAACTCTGAAGTAAAATCCCCTTTGGAGTCTTTGGGCTGGAAGCTAAACAACCTTCATGCACTTCCTCAGTGCATAAATGAATGTGTTTAAATGATGGGGAAGCTAGTAACAACAGGAGCCAACTAGGATTTATTCAGACAACATTAAGTTTCTCACTGGTTCCTGGTGTCTATGCTACACTTCTCCAAAACGGATTTAACTGGCATGTTTGCTTGATGAGCATCACCAGCCTTTTCCCTGCCAAAATCTGCCTCCTGTTTCTTGTTTTGCTTTCTGAATAAATCACCAAGCTGAGTCTTGATAACCCGGCTACAATCAGAGAGCTCATGTCCCTTTATTGTTCCCTGACGAATCATTCATATGTAGGTCTTCTTCCCAGCAGACATTTTGATTTGAAATGCACAGAAAAGTGCTGGTAAATCTATGACGTCGTCTCTGTTCCAGCAATCACTGAGAAGCAGCTTTGGTTTGACTCGCTTGTCTCCCTTTGTGTGTACCTCCCCCTGCAGTGGCTTTGTGACCTCCACACTGAGGACCACTACCTTGGGCCAACACAAACAAAAGTTCTGCTTCAACCTGAACAGATTTTCAGCCATTTGTTTGCTAAACATTTGAACATACTTTGATAACCACAAAAGTTAACTGTTCTCAGATGATCGTCCTATAACTGGTGGCCACAACAAGGTTGCTGGTTGCTTACAACAAGGCCTATTTGGTATATATCTGCCTTATTTCATTTTGAACTACACTGTGGATCATTGTGCACTTTCTAAGCAAATTTAGATGACGTGCACAAAGGTACCCTACAAAAGTGTAATGGCATGTTGCCTACAAGCATAACTCAGTGCCAGTTCCTGGGCCCCCCTTGGAAATACAATAATACATCTTAAGAGATTTATTTTAAGTTTGCTGACATTTAGGAAATTCCATGCTCAGCTTAGACTGTGCCAGGGATAACCAGCCCATGTTCACATACTGACCTCTGTAATATGGAGGTGGCCCACTGCTGGTCAGCGTCCTGGACCTAGGTCTCTGGTCCCTCAGCCTGACTGCCCCACCCTGCTGGGCTGACTCATAGAACGAAGGAACCATCTCACCATGGAGCAAGGCTAGGTCGTGGTCGGAGAAGGAGCGATCTCTTTTCAGAGTGCCGGGGGAGCTCTCTGCCCTCCTCAGCTCCCCATTGTCTGGGGACTCCTCTTCCTGTGATGGGGATGGAGATTAGAGAGGGAGAGGAAGGGTTAGGTATGGGGGAGGAAGAGGAAAAGGGAAGGGAGGGGGAACATCAGGAGGCACCAAAGGTGATTAAGAGGACAATAAAGAAAAGGTGAGGTGAAGGATAGAAAGCATCATAGGATAGAAATCATGTAAAGACGTGATCTAGCTGGCCTAAATTAGGTTACTGTGCATAGTAATCAGAAAAACTAACATAAATGTGAAACCGAAGGCACTGAAAAGGCAACAGTGAACATGCCATGTTCCCTGTGGATGAAGCAGAAGATGTTTATGACCTGAGGCTAGCTCCCCTCCTGGGCCTGTGAGGAATATCTGTTAAAATGCTGAGGAACACAATGTCCAGCACTGATGTTTGATGTAACGGACAGCAACGAAAGAGGAAAACACAAACAAACAAACAAACAAAAAAAAACAGACAATTTCCCAAGTTGTGCTAAAGAGAAGACAACTCATTTCATCCCAGTCACTGTTTCACTTCCCACTGTCTGTGCTAATCTGGTGGCGGACAACCATCTTAACTCCTTTAGGCTGGGAAACAAAGCATGTTTGCAGTAGTAACAGTGATTCCTTTCCTTGTCCCCTCCAAACTCTCAGCAGTCCTTCCCAGCCCCACCTCAGATATGTTCATCTCTTCCATCTCAGCCAGCGTCGGGGCCTTGAGCAGGATGCGCGGGTGGGACGGCGGCCGGGGCCCGGGCTCCGACACGGACAGGTCAATGCACGAAGTAGATTTGACATTACAAGGATAAGCCTGAGCCAGGCAGGGCAGAGAGCCAAACGCTGAGGGAAAAGAGACCAACACATCATCAGGGAACAAACATGTCACAAGCACTGACATCACAGACTAGTGAGTCCACAGGCAAGACAGACTGAGCGCAACACTTTAGTGTCCACAAGGAGTATAATGACTGTAATGGCACAGAGGAGCTGAGCACCGTTGTTGCTTTGACACTAGATGTACTGTTAGTCACTGAGGTGGTCTCATTAAGAGGTGACCTCAGCAGCTTGGGACTGATTCTAAGAGTTAATCCCAAACTCTCACCACTGACAGGAACCAGTGTATACTGATTTCACGGTGCAACACAATGTCCAGTGATGGAATGTATTTTAAAAGTACAGCATACAGGATTTAGTGCCTCAATCATGGAAGCATAGCAAGTATGAGGCTTACTAAAATGAAGAGCTGAACGCCTCAGTTGAGAAACAGTCCCTTTAATCAGTCGGTCACCCAGCTCTACAACCTGCTCTCATAATATTGCTGCTAAACTAATTTCCTGAGATCTGATTCCTCATTCTCACTACTTATCCAGAGTAGCTTTAAACAAAGCGATCTGTTCAGTCCAGCCGTGTGATTTCACTCTCCTCTATCCACAGCGACGAGCTGAATTATCTCGACCTTGATCTGTAAATAGCTGGTGAATACTTATGAAACACAATACCACCTGAACTGTGACCGTCACAAGCTACAGAGTGCAGACTACAGTGCCATCCCTGAGGGCATTATGTAGCAGTGTGTGTGTTTGTTCTTCTCGTCATCGGTGTGTGAATGTGCGTGTGAATGGGTGAATGTGTATGATCTCCTGTAAAGCGCTTTGGCCAGTGTAACACACTGTGAAATATGCGCTATATAAATACAGTTCATTTACCATTTACCATTTCTTCACATGAGAAAATCTGTGAAGCTTTACATGCATTAATTATAATGTCATTTGACCAACGGTGAGAGGCTTTAAGTTAAAGGGTGGTGAACAGCTGTCCCATTACCTCTGGAGCTGGGCTGGACAACAGGCCTGAGCTTTCTCTCCTGCTTGATCTCAGCCAGGACCTGGTCATGGAGGGACTGCTGCCGTGGGGGAGGAGGGGGAAGGCTGCGCTCAGAAACCTAACAGTGAGAAACAATTACAACACATCCACATGTCTGAGAAAGCTAAAAGACATGACCAACAAAAACTGGTTTGCTTTGCATGGTTCTATCAAAATACTTACATATTGGATGAAAAATGTGTTGTGCAAAATCATATGATGCAACTGACCCTTGAAAAAGTCTTCAGTGAAACTCAGAATACCAGGAATTACTAGTAATATTCAAAGTAAAACATTCAGTAATCCATTGTGAGAACAGTTCACTGTTTGGGGCTGCCTTAGAGCCTGGACTGTGTTCAGCTAATGGTAGCTTCAGACCAGTGGTCGCATTTTGTACAATTGGTCCCAACCATCCGTAGTTTACGTTGCTGCTAGGAAATGTTAGGTAATTTCTTAGTCAGATAGATATTGATTAGATATTTGTTGTATTAGTTTAGTGGAGACAGGCTGTCTATGCTCAGGCTGTTAAATGCTTAGTTCATTGTCATGAGTTCTGCAGGCTGCATGGGGGCCCCAAGGACAACCAGATAGAAAAAGTCAGCAGGCAGGATGAATATTGTTATTATTATGATATGTTTAGCCATAATCTTAATCATAATATCTTCCGAGGCTTAATGTCCGGACATGTCCCTGAACGTCCTGTATGTTTTTAGATACACACCACATGATCAACACTCACACACACATTGATTCTCTCCATGTTTTGACTATTGCTACGGACAGCTGTGAAGCTGGCATATCAGGTGACGTCACGGTTGACGTTCCTGTGTAGCATGGGCTAACCCAACCAAGGGATAAAATTGTATAGGCATGAGGGTTCAGGGTCTTTTATCCTCCATGCTGCCTGCGCGCAGGTTTGGGGGTGGAAGATGCCTGGACGTGTAATGTTAATTTTGCCTGTGATCCTTTGAATAAACCAGCACGGTTATTTTTTATATATCCAAGTGGTCCGCCTCGTCTCTCTAAGTTCCTGGTTAGAAGAACTGGGTGATATCTTTCAGAAACAAGACGTCAGTTTGTTTTGAGTCTCAGTAAACTGTCTAGCAGCTCTAAAGCCTCCAGTGGAAGAAAATGCACCTTTAATGTAACTAACCAAAAGAAATCAACCAGATCAAACCATTTATTAATGCATTTCTTTCTAAACCTGGTTATTATACAGTACCTCCTACTGGTGTTTTCAGAACATACTGTAAATGGCAAGAAAAGCTGCACGCTGGCATGTAGCTGTCTTCACACCGCTGGGGTGAACTTCTATTAAGACTAAACCCACTCACTGGTTTAAGTGGAGGTCTTGATCTGATGAAATCCAGTATCAGTTCATGGGCATTCCTCTTTACTCTGGTAGGAATGTCACCATCTACCTGGATAAGACAAGAAGCACAACAGCTGTAGCACTTTCACAGACCGAGTGTGTTTGCAGTGAGGCAACCACTCACAGGCACATCATAACTTTACTGTAGCCTGCATGTTAAAGCTGCTTTAACAGGCTTTATTATTATCATTTTACCCACTTGGGGACAACTTTTGGATACTTTCTGTTTTTCAGCTGCTAAATGCTGAAAAATGGGTGTTTAGGACAAGCTTTTATTCCAGCTTGAAATAAAATATGCAATAAAGCCACAAGTATCTAAGTGCAGCACATGATGATGTCTAATTACACCTGTTACAGAACTTTAGAAATATTGCATCTGACTGTGCAACATCCTGTGAATGACTAACCACAGCATAGCAACAGTGATACCCAATCACAGTGGATATAGCTCTTTGTGATCCACTGAAGGTTTTGGAAGACAAACTGCAGCCAGAACAACAGACTGCTGAGAGGTGCCTTCATGTGTTCTGAGGCTGAATTATGTATCTGCCCGTGGAGAACACCTCAGGGTGATTCTGCCTACATAACATTTTGCCACTTTAATAAAGCTTATAGAAAATATGGTGCAGTGGATGCTCTGGAAAAAGTGGATGTGCCTTCAGCATCTTTAAATACAAAGTGGAGTCAGTCTCACTCCTGTGTGCCCTTGAACTCCACATGCCCCATCTGATCAGTCAGGTGACGATGAATAGTACATTCCTCACAGAGTTAAGACTCATGCATGACACGTGCTGGTCGATGTTCTGGTTTTCAGCAGCTCCCACAGCTCTGAGGCCTTACTCTGTAGCTGACACTTCAACTGCTTTCAATGTCTACAAATCAACTGACTTTTTCACCGATTTCCAGAGCACACACTTCCACTGTTTCCTCCACTTCACCTATAAATGCATTCATTGTTTAAAGTTCAGTTGACACTTCAGCTGCTTTCATATCTTATCTAATGAGTAACTTTATTTTTTTAAACCGGGGCTCGTCTCTCACCATGACTTTGCGTAGCTGGAACTTGCGCGCTCGTATGTCCTGCATCAGCATCTCAAAGGGCGTGAGGCTGAACTCGGTGGGCAGCGCATTGAACAGCTGCTCCTGCACCTTCTTCAGCTTCACTCCCTGCCTGAGCTCCTTCATCAGCTGCACCCACAGACGTGCCTGGGGTGGAAACAAGAACAACACACACATCTGCATGCGTCAACACGATGACACTGCCTTCTCCGAGCACACTGTTGTATTGTCCTCCCTGTCATGCTGTGCCCTCACTCTCTTCGTCTCACCCAGTCTCTGTGCTTCAGTGCGTCCAGCTCAGCTGTTGACCTGTCTTCCTGAGCTTCTTCTGATGTGATCTTCTTCAGCATCTGTGCAATAAAAGGCAAAAAAAAAACACATATATTTAGCTTTTCTTGACAATCACAATTTTGTACAGTGTCAACAGTAACATTTCTGGTGTCTTTCTGCTACACATTGAAAAATGTGATCTGACTGCTCAAACCCTGAGCAATCAGATGATCAGACAGTCTCTAAACAATGTTGATCAGAGGTAAAACCAAAAGCCAGTGCAGATGTTGCTACAGTAACAATCCTGTACTGCACAGACAAACCGAGGCATGTGTTGTAGGTAACAGGTGAGTCTGGAGAGCTGGCTGTAAACCGTGGTATTTACAGACAGTAGATCTCAGCTTTAGTTCTCTTACCTATTTTACTTTTATTTCCAAACTAATGAATGTATTCAACACATTTCTAGAGCTGAAGGAGGGGAATCATGTGTTTTGGTCGGAAACACTGAATGTAAACAAAACTGTTTACTAGAACATTCAGGGACCCTTTACCGGGTGAACACATTATTAATAATACCAGAGAAAGCAACAGCCAAAACAATGCAAAGATAACCCAGGTGAAATTAACCACGATAATCCTTCAATGAAAAGTTAAGTATTGTGACAATTTCACAACTTGAATGAATTTTAACTGAGTGCCCTGGTAGTTCATCTCCATTCATATTTACATAGTGATTCGGATAGTTAAACTACTTTGTTATCATTTTAGTTAACTAGTGAAACCAACAGACAATTTTAGGCCATGAAAAGAAAGGAATGACCATTTATCTTTCTGTTACCATGCTGTGTTGGAAGGGACACAGTCAGTGCCAAACAGAACCACCTGTGGGATGAGAGACACCACATGCATCACATAAACACAAGCTGTTGTTTGCTTTTACTGCTTGGAGTAATTCATATATTTTAGTGATATGATTTGATGGCCTACAGTAAATTGTTCTTAGTGATAATATTACTCTGTTTTTGTGAGATTTTGAAGTGTATGTCTGTTGCACAGGGAGCCAAAGACAACTTTCCACCATGGTGGACAATAATAATAATAAGTAAATTGAATTGAACCGAAGATTCTGCTCTGGCCCGTTACTTAGACTAGTGTTCAAGATGTTCACACTGACACAAAGGCACAAGACTGTTGTAGTTCTTATGACTGTACAAGTCAGATGGTTTTAGACAGTCAAACTCTCTAAAAAGCTGCACGTTAACATTGTTTATTTGCTGTTTCAGCTGCAGTCAGATTATACAAACCACAGATTTGTTTACAGCAAACACAGCATTCCATGTAATTCTGTGTGTGTAAAAAGCCACATGGAAGCATTTTCTTTAGCACAGGTTTAGGTCTCAGATCATAAATTCAACTGAGCAGCATTTCTTGCTGCCATTTGACTTTTCTGTATTATACTTTGGTATTATTCTGCATCACATACACATTGTCAATTTGAGTTTTTCTACAAAGTGATTTGAACTGCTTTTTCTAAGGAGCTTTAGCGAATCCAACTAAATTGCCCCCCAGGGTAGCTTTGCTGTTCAGCTTCTTCCAGTGTGAAGTAACTGGAAGCTTGCAAAACTTCCAGAGGAGCCTCCCCAGCACTGGCAGCACTTGCAGTCCTGCACAGTGTTTCTGCTGAATGCACATGAACAGTTCAACAAAGGTAAACCACTGCAGTGACAAGACAGGTCAAGATGTGAGGTTGAATGGTGGAAGGAAGCTGTGGAGGCATATATTCAATCATTTTACTCTGTGCTCTGTAGCATGTAAACAGGAATATTAATGCAGCAGCGTTGTGGGCATTTCAAATTCAGAGCGCACACACAGTGAGGTGCAGGCCACTGGAAGTGGAAGCAGTGAATGTCCAACATAGTGCTATATCAAAAAAACAGGTTTACACCTTTATTTTCCTGCATTTACTTACTACGTGTTCTCACTTACAGTGCTAGAAGGTTAAGCAGATGTTTCTTTGAAGCGTGATCTTAACATTGACACGACAGCCTGACAAACCTCCTTTGCGTCTCTGATCTTGATGAGGAAGGTCTGCAGCTCCAGAGTCTCCACAAACAAAGCCCTGCAAACAGCCTGGTAGTGCTCCGGAGCCAGGCTCGGGCTGGCTAGCCGAGACGCACACAGCACCATCACCTGGCGGAACGTGCACACGGGCCTTATCACTCCCTCCTGCTCCTCTTCCTCCTCATCCTCTTCTGGCCCGCTGTACCCCTCGTCTGTTGTACCATTTCCAGCAGTGATGTTGCCCTGTGCGTCCCGGTCCCCAGCAGCCATATGTTCGATGAGGCGCTCCAGCTGTGGGCTGAGCTCCCGCTCCTCGCTGTCGTTCAGCCCCCAGTCCAGAGCTCGGTAGATGGCCACACCCAGTGACTGGACCAGCTGGAGGGATGGATGAGGAGGAGAAGAAAAACAATCCATTCAGCCAAAACATTAACAACGAGTTTCACATAAAATACTCTGTATCTTACTGGTCAGGTCAGTACAACGTAGGAGGTTGTGTTGAAGACAAATGGATGGATAAACAGACAAACAGACATTCTGGAGCATTGGCAGTGGGTGTCATTGATTTGCTCTCTCCATTCACTTCTCAGCTGTGAGCGTCACAAGTACAGAAACTGAGAAAGGCCATACAATGGCCTTGTAACAATTTTTTAAAATGCATTATCTAGAGATTGTGAGCCAATCATTTTGTCTTGAGATAGAGATTGTTTTCTCATCATAACAGGATCATTTGTGTTGTTAACTTGGAAAACAAAAGGCAACATTTTTGAAATGGAGATAATTTATGACCAGAAAACAAGTTTTACTTTCTCAAGATCATGGGATAATCATAGAACTGAAATAAGGGTCTGGTTCATTTGGTCCCACCTGATGCAGAGAATCCATAATTGAACAACAGCCAAGACAAATGTGCAGCTGTTTGCTGCAATGACTTCATTAAAGCCGACAATATTGCTTTGTAGTTACCAAAGATGAGAGGTTAGCCAGCTCCCATCCCTCTGTCAAATGAAGCCTACAATAATGGCAGAGGACTGACATTATTCAGGGCGTTCAGTTTGCTATTAGATTTACAAGCCCGTCCTAATGTACATGACCCCAACACCATCTCCACAAACTGTAGTATGCAGACACTTGGTGACTGTGAACTCTGACTTATCAATGCATTCATGGTACAACTAATTTAGATTTAGCCTAATGAGATTAAATAACCTGTTTTCTCAAGAAAACAAGCTTTGAGATAAAACAATTGACTCATAATTTCAAGATAACAGCACAGCTTCTCCCGGCTTTGGCTTCAGACCAGTAATACAAAAGCTGTTAAAGTGGGATTAATATGAAGTTTACAGTATGCCTACAGAGGAAGAGGCAGAGAGACGTCTTCAGAAAGGGCCCACGAGCGCTGTTCTATGTTGGAACTGAAATTCATTATTTATTACATATAGTTATTCAACTACAAAAACACTTGTGGTCTGTCTGAGAGTTGCTACTTCAGGTACATTCTTACAGTTTAAACAGTGAAGACCTTTGTGTCTCTTCTTTCCTTCTCACCTGACGCTCTGCAGTCGTTGGAAGAGGAGGAGGAGGAGGCCCATCAGTGTCAGCTGAGGACACACGCATCCACTTGGAACCTGAGACATACAGAATGTTACTTAAGAAATTTTTTACTTTGTATTCCATCCAAGTGATTATTATGAGAGTTTCTAAATGAAACATCTGCCCACGTATGTTTTAGTTCAAACCAGTTAAATGTTTTGGCCAGACATTTTAATTAAAAAGAAATGCATGTTGGCAAAGCATACCCATACTGACAGAGGTCATTGATACCTATGAGAAATACACAAAGGTTATTTACAATATGCAGAATGAAAAGCATAAAAGTGAGGAAGTCTATGTATTAGTTTAATAATAAGTTCTATAGTCCCTTCTCAGTTCTGTCACATGGTTTTTCTACTTTATTTTTATATTTTTCTGTTTTGATTAAATACGGGACAAGCGGAAACTGAGTGATTCATAATGTTCCAGTTTTCTAAATGACAACAGATTCAGTGATGATAGAATGAATTTGGCCAAAATAATTTTGTGTTGTTATGGTTTAGTCCCCCTCACCAGGGGGGTGAGGGAGAACTGAGGTAGGACTCAAGAGTGCAGACCCAGGTGCTAGTGGAAAAAGGTGATTTATTTAAGGAGCACAAACAGTGTAACTGAGTCAACGTATAGTACAATAACCAGGGTAGGGCAGGGATGGCTGAGGAGACTAGGACGAGGAGATGAGTAGGAGGATTGCAGGAAACAGGAGAGTAGAGGACCAGGACAAGGTAGGCGAGTAGACAGGAGAACAGCGAAAGGTGAGATGAGAGGAGAGACACAGGAATGAGAAGACAGGATTGGTGTAGCGCTTGCTGAAGCGCTAAGCCGTCTGATACCCATGGCTGGGAAAATCACTGTCAGGTACTCATGGCAGGGAAAGTACGCCAGAGGTAATCACGGCATCGCCGTCAGCTACACATAGCTAGGAAAGTTTGCCAGAGGTAATCACGGCATCGCCGTCAGATACACATAGCTAGGAGAGTACGCCAGAGGTAATCACGGCATCGCCATCAGATACTCATAGCTATGAAAAGATTGCCAACATGTGTGGCCCTATCTAACACACACAAAAAAAACCTCGCCGTTCACTCAAACTGTCAATACTTCCTCAACATGTCCGTGTCTAACATAATGTAATGCTCTGGCAACGACGGAGCGTCTGCCAGAGGTTTAAATAAGGGGGAAGGTATTACAGTAATGCTCCCCAGTTGTGTGCGACAACCCACAAGTCACTAATTACAGAAAGTGACACAGCTGGGGCGCCAATCTCGCAAAAAGAGTGAGCAGGAGAGAGAAATGCAGGAGAGAGGCAGGTCGTACCGAGTGGACCTGACATGTGTAGAGATCATATTTTGTAATCTAGCCACAGCGGTTGCAAGCCAGTGACTTCTGTGCCGGGCCCAAGCCCGGATAAATAGAGAGGGTTGCGTCAGGAAGGGCATCCAGTGTAAAAACATGCCAAATTTAAACATGCGAATCATCAATGTGAATTCCATACCGGATCGGTCGAGGCCCAGGTTAACAACGACCGCCACCAATGCTGTTGACCTACAGGGTGCTGGCAGAAATT